CCGGCGTGCAGCCGGTCACATCGCCGTACTATGCCATCGTGCGTCTGTCGGAGTGGTTGGGTGCTTGGATGCGACGTTTGGTCAGAGCAGTTTGGTTGAAGAGGCGGCCACGGGGCTGGTGCCGAGCCGGCCTCGCGCGAATCGGAGAATCGGCACTTCTTCCGAGGCCCCGGGCGAGGGGGTCTCGATGAGGGGGCCTCGGCGAGGCGGTCTCGGGCTAGTCGAGAATCGTTTGCTTCATTGGGGAGCTGACGGGTCTCGGCGAATCGGAGATTTCGGTCGAGACCTCGTTTGTTCATTCCGTTGGTTCTGTTTTTAGGGTCTAAGCAGTTCTTCGATCTTTGCTTGGGGTACCCCATTTTCTGGTATCCGACAATAGTGTATCTTCAAATTTCTTATTTGGGTTTAATCTGTAAAAACCTTATATGGCTCTTTAAGCACCGCCTTAATATCTTTGTGGCTCGTCTAATATGAATTCTGGCTGACTACGCTATCTTCCTATCGAAACTGTAAAAGATTCAGGAATTTAGCTATTTTCTGCTTAGAGATATCATTATTAGGGGTATCATTATTGTGACCGTTGTACTCCTCCAGGCGGACACATTCATCTTAATTAATCTTTATCTCACTCTTAATGAAGAGTATTGTTAGAGAGTCAAGGGCCTATTGGGCCTTAGCCCATTAGAGTTAATTAATTAAGCTTGCTTAGGGGCCAAGTCAGACCTCTCTATATAATGAAAGGAGATGTATCAATCTAATCAAGCAAGAGATTAGAGAGAAATCCCTTCTCTCTTGTAGGCCGTGGCATCGCTCACGGTGGTGGCGGCCTCCCCAAGCCTGGCGCTGGGGAGGCAGGCCATGGGCCGTCTGAATAGTACCCAAGAGAGAAGGGATTTCCTTCTAATCTCTTGCTTGATTAGATTGATACATCTCCTCTCATTATATAGAGAGGTCTGACTTGGCCCCTAAGCAAGCGACTAATTAACTCTAATGGGCTAAGGCCCAATAGGCCCTTGACTCCTCTAACAAGTATCTTTCTTAATTAATCTTTATCTCACTCTTAATGAAGAGTATCTTTCTTAATTGATCTTTATCTCACTCTTAATTGCTCTCATAATCCCCCCCCTCGAAATATGACATAAACTTTACTGCTATAATTTCGAGAACTATTCGGAAAACCTGCTGTCGGATATCATAAAAAGGGGTACCCTAAGCAAGAACCGGAAAAATTGCTTAGACCTTGTAAATATCGAAGCCAAGAGACAACCACGAGGCCTCAGCCGATTCTCCGATTCGCCCGAGGCCCACGCCGCAAGGCCTCGGACGAGGTACCAACTCTCTGCCTCGCCCGAGGCCCCCTAGCCCGAGGCCCCACCCCGCAAGGCCTCGGATGAGGTACCGATTCTCCTCCTCGCCCGAGGCCCCGCCCGAAAGGCCTTGGACGAGGTACCGATTCTCCGTCTCGCTCGGGGCTGGCTTCGCAGCTACCCCGTCACCGCCGCCTCGACCGGGACGTCATGTCCAACTAACGCAACCAACCACTCCCGCGACGTCAGCCGAACGACGGCTCGACATAGTGGAGTGACCGACGAGATGGGAGTCGCATTAACACCATGCCGTCCGGGACGGGACGGGGTAGGGGTTACCAGCCGCTGTGCTCAGCACTGTGCCCACGACTGACACCCATGCGACACTGTGCTACCTAACCCCACCTGCCCTGAGGACAGTGCGGCGTGGAGAGTCATGTCCGGGTCCCTGTAGCCTCGGAATCAAGCCATCACAGGAGCCCCCACGTCGCACAGGATCGGGCGTGACTTGCGTGTCGCTCCAGTGCACCGAGGACAAGACCGCTCCATCGACCATGCCGCCACAGTGACAAGCACAGGGCTCGAACATATCGCCTCCACCCACAAAATGCCACGTAGCGAATGCATGTATCGCCCCTGTCCTCCCCTTCAACTATAAAAGGGAGTGACCGGGGCCGTTTCTAGACAGGCACTCACAGAGACATCGCTCAGATAGACACACACGTAAGCAACGAACAACACTCTGTGATACGCACGCTCCCTCACTGCAAGAGATCAACATCTCAAGCAACCCACGCCGCTCCACGCAGAGACCTGGGACTAACTCCCTCTCTCGCCCTGCTTGTAAACCCCTACTACAAGCACCTCGGTGCAAGGAATACAAGATCGCTCTCTCAGACTGGACGTAGGGCACCTATTGCCTGAACCAGTATAAACCTTATGTCTCTTTGCATCACCATCCCGGATTAGGGGCACGCAGTACACTTTCACTAGTTGGTTGAGGATCCGCCGGTCCAAAACATCAACACCTGTGAACGAGGAGACACTTATGACTTATTTCATTCACATGATTATATCATGCAAACAAAGTTATTTCTTAATTCGTATAGGAGTACACTTTCCTCATTCAACTTCAAGAACTCAACGAGGTCTTTTATTAGCAGTACTTTTGCAAGTCACGATTGCATGTTTTTCTTATCCTTCGGTTAGTATTGACCATGATGGTGCTTTTCTGTTGTACCATGGTCAATACTAGGATAGCATAAGAGCTACCCCAATTTCTCTCGCTATGCGGGATAAATCTATATGCAAACACACATGCTTAATTCAACGTTGGTCAAATTAGACATGTATGTTACTTATTGCAACTCTTATCGTAATGATAAAAAAATATAGACTATTTACTGTAACGAAAACTTAGTCATGACGACTAAAACATTCACTTATAATTCATTTTTCTAATTAAATTTTCCCGTTGGTTCCAATTTAATTAGAAAATTAATAAACTAACAAAAAACAGTCCAAAACTGACTTAACTCAAGCATTTTGATTCACGTAGCCCAGCATTGCAACCCGTTGGCATGCAGTCAAGTGATCTCGTCGGTTAAAATTAAAACATACAAGGTGTTTCTGCATCAATTCTATATCACCGTTGGGCAGAAAATAGAATTAATGCATAAAACTCATAAATTAACTTGAAAGACATATAACTACTCTTCAAAATTAAATTCTCCCGTTGGTTCAAATTTAATTAGAAGATAATCAACATCATTATAGTGGAAACATGAGAATAAAATACATTCTATTAGTTCATGAGCATTTCTTGGTCCTTATCTACTCTCTGAAAAATTGATCACGTTGGTGTAAAATTTATCAGAGATTTAAACTTTAAACTCAAACTCATAAATAAAAAATTATAATATTGCTATCATCCACTTTGCTATCATCAACTTTCGTCAGAAAAATAGCAATATCATAAATATAATATTCTTCTACATTAATTCTATATCACCGTTGAGTAGAAATTGAATTAATGCATGGAAAAACTCATTAATCAACTTACAATATTGTTATCATCGACGTTGGTTAGAAAATAACAATATCACAATTTAACTTAAAACAATTTGGACTACTCATCTAATTTAAATTTTCTCGTCGGTTTCAATTTAATTAGTGGATAAACATAATTATAATTTACTGAATAAATATAACTGCTCTTCAAATTAAATCCTCCCATTGGTTCGAATTTAATGAGAAGATAATAAACATTAACTTTACAGTGGAAACATGAAAAATATAATTTATCTACTTTTCAGAAGCATTTTTCTGTACTCATCTGCTCTCTGAAAATTTTATTCCGTTGGTTCAAAATTTTGACGGAGATTTAAATATCAAAACTTAACATAATTCATCAAAATCGCTTCTGAAAATAATAAAACAAAAAGGAAAAACGACATTGTGCATTTTGGCCCGAAGGCCCAGCGGCCAAAACCGGCCCGTGACCAGCCTCGCGCGCCGCGCCCAGGCCGCAACCTGAGCCTGGGCCGGCAAAGTTGCTACCCGCCCGGGCCATTTTCGGTCCACTGAGCGGTGGCCGTCGGATCTCATCCGATGGCTGCGCGCGTAGATCAGGGAAACAAAACCCCGCCTCCACCGGCGCCTCCCCCAATCCTAGCCTAATTCCTCTTTCTCCCCCTCGGCCCTCTCTCACCAGTGCGCAAGAAGACAGCGGAGCGACCTTGCGTGTGTGGTAGCCGGAGGAGGCTATGGCTTGCTGCGGGCCCCCTCGGCGAGTCTCGCGCCCCGATTGGTAGAGTGCGCCGTCGTCGAGTGGCCTCACGTTGGCTCCTCGAGCCAGCCAGCACAGGCACTGGGGCTGCAAGTGAGAGTAGTGGCGAGCCGGCGGCTCGGTCGGCCCTTTCTTCCCGCGCGATGGCGGTCGCGACGGCGGGGAAAGAACCCAAGTAGGTCCCTTCCTCCTCTCTGTTCTTGTGATCTAGAGTTAGGGTTTGGGAAAACTTGGAAATCTTTTATCTCCTAAATTCTTCTCGATTTACTACCCCAAACTCTAGATCTACACCCTTGTACTCTAATACCATTGTTAGAGAATCTAGGATTAACAAGGAGTAGATCTAGCGGGTTGACTTCACTAATTTGGCATAAACATCGTATAGTTCATCGATGTGAACTAGAGAGAGAGGCCCATACCTTCGGCTTGGCAGATGAGGTAGAGGAGGAAGAAGTCGACATGGCATTGGCGACGCAATGTGGAGCGGCGGAATCCAAAGGACGGCAGCGCGGCCGGCAGTGCTTCCCGTCGCTCACAGCGCGCCCTTTGGATCGGACTAGGGTTAGGATGTCGGTGAGAACTGGCGGCCACGGTGAACCTCGTGTCTCGAGCCCCAGCTCCCACCTCCTATTCATTGCGCTGCACGACGGGGGTCCACCAGCCCGGGAGAACGGCTAGGCATCCCGATCGGTCTGCTGAGTCAAAGTCCGCCTCAATCGTTGGACCGAGCCGGGTGGAGATCAATCTAATGTAAACATCTTCCCCAAGAACGTCCGCGACGGGACTCTTTCCTTGAGTTCCATACGCTCTCCCGGACGGTGAGGAGAAGCCGCCGTCCCGCGTGGTCTGCGTCCACGGAACGTGCCTGGGCGTGGGCCAGCGTGGCCGTCTTCTCGTCGGACACCATGGAGTGGCAGGTCGTCTTACCGGACATGGACTGGCAGGTCGTCTTACCATGGAGCGACAGATACGCCACTGGCACGGTTGTCAATGGCTTCGTCTGCTGGGTACACCATGGGGAGGGATGCATCCTCTCGCTCAACACTGCGACATTTCAATTCTCTCGGATGTATCTGCTGCCGCTCTGAAAAGTGCCGTCCTCAATATATCAACTTGGTCACACCAAGGATGGGAAGTTCTGTGTCGTCAATGTACTGCAATGCATGCTTTCTGTTTGGCTCTGGGCAGGTGATGGTGGTGGTGTCGGGAGATTCATGCTGCACAAGACGTTCTCACTGCGCGCAAATGTCAGTGAGATCACCGAGTGTTCAGAAGAGGCTGATGTTAGGATGCGGCCTATGGCAGTTATCAATGGCTTTGTGTACCTATCTCTAATTATTGACTACTATGGGGACCCTCGCTCTCCTGAGTGGTTCCTGTCCTTCTGCCTAGAAACAGCTGAGGTGAATTTGCTCCATAAGGAAAGCCACCCTATCTGGTGGTCAGTTGATCCCTACATCATGGTTAGCTGGCCGTCTTCTTTGATACTTCCTCCGGTTCTCTAAAACAAGTCGTTTTAAGGTTATCTTAAGTTAAACATTTTAAAATTTGACTACAAATAACTTTTTTTGGGTTGAGTTTGAAAATATGAAAGTGATGTAAGTAGATTCATCTCGAAATGTAGTTTTATAAAAGTATATATTGACTATATTTTATAAATATTTTATAACAAAAAGTTACAGTCAAAGTCGTTTCTTAAAGACCGTGTCGATGTCCAAAACGACTTGCTTTAGAGAACCGGAGGGAGTACATGGCAAGGTGAGCCTATGCCTATGTCTTTGATACATGATACAATATGTTCCGTCCCTTAATTGTAGGCAATTTGGATCACATGAGATGTGATATTGCTGTAGAATTCTGCCATCGGCTTTCAGGTTTAGATGAAGTAACATGAATAAACTTTAACTTGTAGCAAGGGAGATAATTCGTTGTCCACTTTTTAATGCTAACCAATATGAGACGGCAGCGCTGTACTCAAGGGTATTCTTATTTTAAGTTTCATTGCTTCTGTTAAAGCTAAATAAATTGATCTGTATCATTAGAATCTATTGCCCTGCCGCAATTTTTTCCTATGCAAAAGCTTAGTACTTATAGTATGAGTTCTCTTTATGTTACAGCAGGATGTGGAAACTGAAGTTACAGGAAACATTTCTGAAGATGATGATCCTATGAGCACAGAAGAAGCTTCCCCTGTCCTTTTCACTGCGTTACAATCATTCAAAGAAAAATTGATTGATGATGGCAACTTGAATTTCGCGGAGATAGAGTTCTTTGTACCTGATGATGAGAGGAACTCTCTTCTGAGCTGACTTGCTACTTTTGAGTCAGGATTAGCAGCTACAAGAGATCGTGTCTTGAGAATAGGTACTGAACCCAATAGCGTGAATGGGATGGAACTCGTTACTTCAGAGTCAGAATTAGCAGCTGCAAGAGACAGTGTCTTGAGAATAGGTACTGAATCTGATAGCATGGAAGGGATGGAGAGAGTGGGCTGCTGGCAAATGTGCATGGGAATGTTGGGTAGAGCTTGTTTCCGATTCTTTACTGGGTGACCCTGGTCCTGGTGTCTCGTCATAATTTGGGCTTTTTGTTGAGACGTATTGTGAGGGAAGGATGGAGACATTATGTGCTAGTAGTTTGGTTTTGTTCCAGGTCTGTTTAGTGTAACTATGAGTACCTATGTCTAGTTGGCAAGAAACTAATCTGCTTTATATGTAGTAATATTAAGTGCCATCGTCAGTAGGTCTGTTGAGTGTAACTATAAGTACCTATGTCTAGTTGGCAATAAACTTATCTGCTTTATATGCAGTAATATCCAGTGCCATCGTTAGTATATGTTTGGTGTCTTTGCTCTGCATTGTTGAATTTGCTTCAGTGGTTGTTCATTTTGGAGCCGTTATGTTTATCTCCCGATAGAATTCCTTGCTGCTTGGTTTTACACTGGTGTTTTTTAGTGCTCACTGTTTAGCCCCTCTGCGCACAAGAGAGCTGAGCATTTCATGAGAACAGAAACAGAGCAAGGTTACTAAACGCTGCAAGAAAGCAGAGCATAAATCTTTATGACACCCATTAGTATCATTAGATGTACCATGAAATATATTTTCATAATGCGTTTATTTGGTCCGTAAATATAGATGCTTTTGACTCGAGAAGACAACTCAATTTATTTGGAAACGGATCTGAGTATCTTATAGCGTGTTTGGTTACCCTGATCCAAAGCATTAGTATGCTTAACAGTAGCTATTAATAATAAAAAAATTAATTATTATTAAGTGGATTCCAGCTTCAATTTCTGGTATTAGAATATGGTCTGCTTGTTTTCTTTTATTCTGCATTGTAGTTCCCTCCATAGTTAGGCTTGAGATCAATTTGGTTTAGATAATATGTGAATGATTGAAGTTCTTGTAGCTCACAACAATTTACCAGTAGTTAGGATGAGCATTTCTATTGGTTGATCCTTTCATCATGCTACCGTTGTTCATGCTTGAGTGACTGGTGTGGTGTTTAGTTAGCCAGTGAGTACTAGTGATCAGCAGCTGCAGCTAGTGATCTGATATGCCCTGCGTGGTTGTTATTAACATCCCTGTAACTGAAATAATCTAGTTGTCAAAGACAAGTTTAACAAAGCACTTGTTTGTTTGCTTCGTTGTTTGTGTATATGTGTGACAAACTTGGTCAAAGACAGGTTTAACAAAGTTGTAAATACAACAAGGATTATTAGCATAGTCTCCCTTGTGCTGGTAATTAGTACGCAGTATGTTCCTAGCATATTCAGGTTAGCAAATGCTTATTCAGTAATCAGGGCAAAAATCAGGTTAGCATATTCAGTAGTCAGCCAGTGAATACTGGTGATCAGCAGCTGTACAGCGTGTTTCGCTGCATATTCTGAAATTGATTAGCAGATGTACAGTGTGTTTCATTGCATATTCTAAATACTAGTGATCCGCTCTCATGTGTTGATCAGCAGCCACTGAATATGAAATTGACTTCTTTGAATCAGCCATGCTTCACTGCATTTTCTTTGAAATTGACTACTTTGCATCCAGCTCATGTTTGCCCCTCATGATGGGAGTTGTTTAAATGTTTCTTTGTATTTTTTAATTTGAAATAAGATTTCAATGTAGCAGTTTTTCAGGTTCACCAGATTTAAGGATAAAATTGTTTTAGAAGACAACTGGTTATCCTACAAGATGCAAATGCAACTAGTTGTCCTATGATGACTAGTCTGATGGAAACATTATTACTCAGAAATTGTGACATATGTCATGGAAAGAAAGAAAGTAGACATTTGCATGGGAATATTTCTTATTTTCTTGAATTAAGTCAATTTGCATAGACAAATGTAGCATATGGATGGAGTGCTGGTAATTTGAATTAAGTCAAGCTTGTGCTAGTACACTTCACTTGCTTGTGAGAGCCCTCTGATCCTATCTTAGGATCTGGCCCGCAGATTCGAAATGGCAAAATGGATAGGATGATGTCAATTGATTGGATTGGGCTGAGCTGAAACAAATCAGTAAGGGTTAAGATTGGGTTGGATCTAGTGGTGCTATGTTCCATCCAATGACAATCATCTCCCGCTACTCTGGTTCACTCGCAGCTGCGATTACTTGGCAGGACTCAGAGAACAATTTCCTAAGAGTAAAGGCAAGTAAAAAAATTTCCTTGCATACATCCTAGCCTGAACTGCATCGGAGGGAACTACAAACTTGTATTGATCTCAGAAAGCTCCTGTGCAGGTTATAGACTTCGGTCAGATGCTACGACCCTGACAATCTCCACGAGTGCACTCCAGACCAGTATTAACACTCTCGGATCAACCGCCACTGTTCTCACATCAGCAAATGTGATGGATGAAAATTCCTTCAGTAACCCAACCAAGGTAAGTTCCCCCCCCCCCTTGTTTGTGTTTATTACAGTGTCTGAATGATCATATGTCTCTCAAAGCATGTTTGCGCTTTGTTTTCGGTTTCGGTCTCGTGTCCTCTGAGATCCTACCTGAATCTGAATGTGAAACCTGATGGTGAACAATTGCGCTGCAGGTTGTGCCGGTGAAGAGCGATCTGAGCAATGCTGCAGAGCAGATGCGGGTCACGCTGGCTCCTCACTCCTTGAGCTCGTTCGATCTTGCCCTGGCTCAGTACACTAGGACTATAGTATACAGTACAAGATGTTGAAGTCACAAATGCCAGCAGCTACAGGGGTTGTTGTTAGCATCTTGAACACAGGGCTTTGTACTGTGTAATAACATGATGCAGATACTAATAATGAATAAATAAATAAAAGCCACATCAGGTTGGTTTGATTTGCTTGATACAAGTAATTAGACCGTCACGACATTTTTAATTTGTTTTTTTTACTCATTTTATTATTATGATTTTCCCAAGAAAAAGGCAGTTGCAGTCTTGCAGACTACCAGTACAGCAGCAGCAACATTTTCTCTCTGCGCTCGGTTCATTTGGACTTATTTGGCTTATAAGTCATGGCTGAAAGTACTGTTGGCTGGTTTGGTATGAGAAAAAAATACTATTCGTTGACTGATAAGCTATGGCTATAAGTCAAATACGACCAAGCGAACAGGCTGCTACTATACGAAGAAACCCTCTTCATTTATTAGCATAGACCTCGCCGAGCAGCGTGACGGCGAGCTTGGCGAGCATGAACGCGTTCTGGTTCTCCGCTGTCACCAGCGACGCCGCCTTGCTCCTCCCGAACCCGTCCTCGCACTCCTTGGCGGCGGCGGCGGCTTCCTCCAGGCACGTCGTGGCCTCGCCCTTCCTGACGCCCCGAACGGCGGCCGCGTAGGCAGGCTGCCTCCGCACCGTGCCGACGTACAGAGCCTGGCACGATCGGCCACCGTTGTCTCTACCGCCGCCGCTGGCGCTCTCCTGTGTTGTCGTCGGTGAGCACCGTCGACGTGAGGAACATGAGATCGGAACGACAGAGGAAAGATTCCTCTTGCCGAGTTCTGTATTCTCTGAAATGCGATAGATCCTAGAGTCTCACAGCGGTGACTTATTACAGACCGGGTTATGCCCTCAGGGCCCACACGTCATAGACGTTACATTACATAAATGATTGAATACGTAATCATAGATAGATAACGCCTTTCAGCGAGTACGTCTCATTCAGGTAGTCATCGTCGTGGGCTTGACAACTCCCCCCGCCGAAGTGCCTGCTTGCCCCCAAGCAGGTGCATCCAGAAAGCAATGGCGCAAGACGTTGTAGTCTTCCCAGGTGGCCGACGTAGGTGGAAGGCCGCTCCACTTCACCAGGACCTGAGGAACGGCGGTGGCACCCTTCTTGACCAGGCGACGCTCGATAATGACCTCACGAACAGCCGTGGCCGCCTCAATGTCGAGAGTATTTGGCAGCGCCCGAGAACACCGTGAGAAATCAGGAACAAAGGACTTGAGCTGGGAAATATGAAATACCGGTGAATTTGGCTACTCTGAGGTAAATCCAACCGATAGGCCACTTTGCCAATTTTCTCCAGGATGGTGTATGGCCCATAGAACTTGTATGCTAGCTTGGGATATGGTCGGTTGGCCACTGTGGACTGTGTATATGGTTGGAGCTTTAATAGCAACCGATCGCCAACTTTGGAACTAGAGATCTACTCTTTTCTTATCAGCCATGACTTTCATCCTATTCTCGAGCATCGCCAAATGTTGCTTCAGAGATTGAAGATGGAGCTCATGGTTCTCAATGATTTCAGCAATAGTTGGTAATGTAGCAGGTGATACCAATGGTGTTGCGCCCATTGTTGGTTCATAGCCATACGATTGCTTTGAAAGGAGAACAACCGAGAGAGGAGTGGAATGTTGAGTTGTACCATAGTTCGCTAGGGAAAGCTAGGACTTCCGGTGTTCTAGGAGCATCTTGGATTTGAACACCTCAAGTACATTTCTAAGCATTGGTTGACCCTTTCGGTTTGCCCATCCGACTGTGGGTGGTAAGCTGGTCGACGGCCAATTTAACTTTGTAAAGCTTGAAGAGGTATTTCCAAAAAGTACTGACAAAAATGGTGTCCCTATCAGAAACAATGGATTGTGGTAACCCATGTAACCTGACCCCATTGTCCATAAATATCTATGCTATAGAGGTTGTTGTATAAGGGTGTTTGACTGCCATGAAATGTGCATATTTGGTTAATCTGTCCACTACTACAAGAATGACATTGTAACCTTGTGATTTTGGAAGGCCCTCTATAAAGTCCATAGATAGATCCATCCAAACTCCCTAAGGTAATGGTAAGGGTTGGAGTAAACTTGCAGGATGAGTGTTGAAATGTTTGGCATGTTGGCAGACATCGCAGTGTTTGATGTAACTTTCCGCAGCATGTTTCATCCCTTTCCAAGAAAAGTGATTCTTTAGCCTCTGATATGTTGCAGTTGTGCCAGAATGTCCACCTATAGCAGTGGAATGAAAACTAGCAATAAGTTTAGTTTGTAGTGCTGAATTGTTGCCAATCCAGAGCTTGTTATGATGTCTGATCAACCCATTATCAAGACTATACCCTGCTGGATCAGGGATTGTAACTGCCAACTGTTGAAGCAATTGCTGAGCTCTAGCATCTGTTGTATATGAATTGAGGACCTCCTGGACCCAATCAGGCTTCACCAAGGATACTGCCTGTAAGGTGTGGAGATATGCAACTCTAGACAGAGCATCAGTAGCTACATTCTCCTTGCCCTTCTTGTAGACAATTTTAAATTGAAGTCCCATGAGTCTAGTCATGGCCTTCCTCTGCATTTCCAAATGAAGATTCTGCTCAGCAAGATAGGACAGAGATTTATGATCAGTTAAGATGGTGAATTCTTGCCTCTGTAAGTAATGTTTCCATTTCTCCACTGCCATAAATAAAGCTAGAAACTCTTTTCATAAATGGATAGCTTCTGATGTTTCTCTCCCAGTGCCTTACTGAGATAAGCAATGGGCTGGCCAGATTGCATAAGAACTGCTCCAATTCCTTCCCCACAAGCATCAGTTTCAACTGTGAAAGGTTGCTGAAAATTTGGCAGTGCCAGGACTCGAGTACTTGTGAGAGGTAACCTTTAGATTGTCAAAGGCTTCTTGGGCTATTGGGGGCCACTGAAATTGCTTGTGATTGAGTAAGTTGTTGAGTGGTTGGCCATAATTCCATAGCCCTTCACAAATTTTCTATAATATCCTGTTAGGCCTAAGAAAGCCCTGAGTTCTGTCATAGTTTTGGGTTCGGCCAGTGTAACATAGCATGAGTTTTCTGAGGATCAGTAGCTACTCCTGCAGCTAAAATGATGTGACCCAAATACTCTAGCTGTGTTTGAGCAAATGAACACTTGGATTGCTTTAGGTATAACTGATTGACATGTAACACCTCCAAAACTTGTTCTAGATGCTTCAGATGCTTAGTGAATGATTTACTGTAAATGAGGATATCATCCAGAAAGACTAACACAAACTTCCTCAGGAATGGCTGGAGAATTTGGTTCATGATGCATTGAAAGGTAGCAGGTGCATTTGTCAGGCCAAAAGGCATTACCTTAAATTGATAGTGGCCATGATGAGTCTTGAATGCAGTTTTATACTCATCTTCTGGCAACATTCTAACCTGATGGTATCCTGATCTCACATCTAGCTTAGTGAAGTATTCTGCCCCCTCTAACTCATCTAGAATTTCTTCAATGATTGGGAGAGGAAACATGTTCTTGATTGTTATCTCATTGAGTTTTCTATAGTCTACACAAAACCTCCATGTCCCATCCTTTTTCTTCACCAACAGTATAGGAGAGGCAAATGGACTATGGCTGTGTGTGATCAGCCCAGACTACAACAAATGCTTAACTTGAGTTTCAATTTTAGTCTTGTGCTGTGGAGAGTAGTGATAGGGTTTGGCATTGATAGGGATAGCTCCAGGTAGGAGTGGGATAGAATGGTCATAGCTTCTTTGTGGTGGTAAGGTTTGAGGGTCCTGAAACATTGTTTGATATTTGGTCAAGATGGTTTGTAGGTTAGGGTTGGTAGGTTCATGGTGAGCTGCAGAGGTTTGTTCAAGCATGACAAAGGCCCAAGTGTCATTGCCTTTGGTAGCCTTATACAGTTGGGTAGGGGAAATGGGTGTGGCTTGTAGAGGTGGGGTTTGATGGCCTTGGATGGTGACTGTATTGTCAGCATGTGTAAAGGTGAGGGTTTTGTTGCTCCAATCACACTGCATGGGGCTATGTAATTTGAGCCAATCAAAGCCAAGGATAGCATCATAAGGACCCATATCTATGACAAACATGTCACTATGTAGGGTATGACCTTGAATATACCATTGCAGATTAAGTACCTTAGCTTGTGTAGTTAACTGTTGCCCATTGGTCAGCTTCACAGTTCTAGGAGTGACTGGTATTGTTGGTAAATTTGCCATGGCCACAAAGCTTGAACTGATAAAGTTGTGTGAGCTTCCTGAATCCAGAAGTACTAGCATCACTTTGTTCTTCACCAGAGTTCTCAGTTTGATACTGTTATCATTATCAGCACTTGAGAGGGTATTGAGGGATAGCTGACAAAAGTTCTTAGCTAAAGCATCTTCCATGTCTAGTGTATTGAGAACTTGCTTAGTGATCTCCTCCTTGTCTAGTGGATTTACCACAATGGCATTCAGCTATGGTTTAGCACGTTTGGAGCATACATCCTGATGACCAGGTTCATACTTCTCCCCACAGAAGTAGCAGAGATTGTTTGCTCTTCGATAATCTCTCAATTGCCTGAGTCTTGTGAGGTTTTGAGAAGTTTGGTTGTCATGCTTCTGTGGCTGATATCTATTTGTAGGTGGTGGTCTTGTGGCTTTGGTCTTGTTCCTTTTAATTGTTCTCTGCTGGATTTTGGCAATCAAGGTAGCTCTATCTTCTATTACTGGTACATGAGGTTCCATAGTAGCTCTAATCTCTTTCAAGCCATCCACATACTTGGTTGCAAAGAAGAGTTCATCATAGTGGCAATTATGCATTGTAACATCAAATTGTAGAGACTGAAAAGCAGCAGTGTACTCCTCCATAGTTCTAGATCGCTTGAGGGTTAGCAGGTCATTGAGTGCTTGCCTAAAATCATTAGCACCAAACTTCTCCAGTATAATGGAACAGAAAGGCTTCCATGTAGGTACATAATGGTTTTGCTTGTATGCTTGCCACCACTTGGCTACATTCTCCTCAAGATGCATCATAGCAGCTGTGACCTTTAATGACTCTGTAATGTTGTATATGGTAAAATAGTTGCAGTAGTTGTCAATCCAAATTTTGGGGCTTGTTCCATCAAACATGGGAAATTGCATTTTGGAAATTGAATGGTGGGATAACTGATCTTTGTTGGAATGGCCATGGGGCCTCTTGGATGTGCCTGGCTTGTGGTCATGAGTCGTGCCAGCAAACACATTATCAAACACTGTTTCTTCGGCTGAGACTACTGAGGCATTATCTGAACTATCATCCTTTTTTTCCTTTTCCATTTGTCTGATCATCAGACTAGCCATTGCCTGACCATTGGCTTGAACTTGCTTCGCAATTTTATTCTGTTCCACCTTAGCTGTCGTGACCTCAGTCTTAAGTTCATGCTGAATTAGGCCCAAATCATTGATTTGGGCGAACAGCAGGTCAAAGTTTCCCATTACCTGATCCCACCTTGTATTGTCCTCTTCACTGTTCTTGGACTTGGCTTCCAAGATGAATTGGGTCTGCACGGATGGTTTCTTGGGAGCCGTTGTGGCTGATACCGAGGTATAGACAAAAAACCAAAGAATTAGGTGCAGCAACGGGTTTGGAAGACCTCCCCCTTAGTATGTTACACCTGAACTCGCCGACTACGCCTAGAAGTGAGGCACCACCAAGGAATTTTACACAGAGACCTGCTCTGCAACCCAAGTGTTTGGACACTTCTTCGCCTTCGCCACCACACAACAATCAGCTTCACGAGACTACAAAATTTTACATGGAAACGATGTTCCAAAACCCTCGCCTCGACTGACTGCTTGCTAATGAGAGGTAGGGAGCAGGATGATGGCTGCTCATTAGGTTCTCGCCTCCTGAACCAACGAGTTGCTGATGTATTCCCCTAGTCGAGTGATGTGCCGAAGACCGATCGGATCTGAGTGGTGGTAGTGGTGGATTGGGGCTGGTGGTGGTGGATCTGAGTAGGGATGGTGGTGAGGTGGGTTGGTGGTGGTGGATCAGAGTTGGTGGGGTGGAGTCTAAGGTAGGCGACGCCGACACCGCAGCTGACCTAGTTCCACCAAAGAGTGGACCTATGGGACCTCCGATCGAACACCACGAGGGCGAGGACAGAGATCAACTAGCCACCTAGAATTACAAACCACGATCGAAGCTAGATGGATACGGGAAGCGCTATGAGGCAAAAGCTGCCTGACCTGGGTTGTTGATGAGGGTTTGGTGACCACGCTGACTTGGAAAGCCACCGCCGCCGCCACCGATAACTGGAGTCGAAGAAGAGCCAGTGGAGCTCATCACCCATGCCGAGGAAGAACCGTCTCTAATACCACTTGTCACACCTTGTTGCCATCGGTGAGCACCGTCGATGTGAGGAACACAAGAGGAACACGAGATCAGAACAATAGAGGAAAGATTCCTCTTACCGAGTTCTGTATTATCTGAAATGCGATATATCCTAGAGTCTCACAGTGGTGACTTATTATATACTGGGTTCTGCCCTCAGGGCCCACACGTCATAGATGTTGCATTACATAAATGATTGAATATGTAATCATAGATAGATAACGCCTTCTAGCGAGTACGCCTCCTTTAGGTAGTCATCGTTGTGGGCTTGACATCTTCAAAGCTCTAGTTTGGTTTTGGTGAATTGATGAAACCCTAAGTGCTAACCTAGTTTATCAAATGATCATGAGATAGGTAGCACATTCCAAGTGGTGAAGCAAATGAAGATCATGACATGATGATGTGATGCCATGGTGATGATCAAGTGCTTGGACTTGAAAACAAGAAAGAGAAAAACAAAAGGCTCAAGGCAAAGGTATAAATGGTAGGAGCCATTTTATTTTGGTGATCGAGACACTTAGTGAGTGTGATCACATTTAGGATCGATAGCCGTACTATTAAGAGGGGTGAAACTCGTATCGAAATGCTGTTATCAAAGTGCCACTAGATGCTCTAACTCATTACATATGCATTTAGGATCTAGTGGAGTGCTAACACCCTTGAAAATGTTTGTGAAAATATGCTAACACATGTGCACAAGGTGATACCCTTGGTGGTTGGCACATTTGAGCAAGGGTTAGGAACTTCACCGGCGGAGTGTCTGCCCGTAGAGTACAGACAGTTTGACGGTGCCACCGACGCCCTATATAGAAAAGATAGGGTTTCACAGAGTGGACCGGACGCTGGCGTCAACTGGACCGACGTGTCCGGTTAGTGGAAGCAGTGAAGACGCTGGCGTCGGTCTTCGACCGGACGCTGGGTCACTTCGTGACCGAACGCTGGTGGGGTGCGTCCGGTCCCACTGACGTGGCAGCGCACAGAGGAGACGTTGAGTGACCAGAAGCTGGGTGAGTCCGGTCGAGCATGACCGGACGCGTCCGGTCGTGATTTTTTGCCTCTGGAACCTTACTGGAAATGACTGGACGCTGGTGTTGGTGTGTCCGATCTCTTTGAGCAGCACGACCGGTCACTACTTAAATGTATTGATGACCATTGAGATCGGGCGATCAGTGTTTGAAGCCGATGACATGTGGCAAGCATCGGGCGACCGGATGCTGGGGTCCTACGTCCGGTCAATATGACCGGAGCGTCCGATCACCCCGAGCAGTGCCTAGTGAAGGGCTATAATGGCTCTATTTTGTGAGAGCTTCTATTTAAGCCCCATGGCCGGCTCAAGCTCATTCTCTTAGCCATTTGCATTGACATAGCAACCTTGTGAGCTTAGCCAAAGCCCTCCCACTCATCTCCATCATAGATTTAACATCTTTGTGAGATTGAGAGAGAATCTAAGTGCATTGCTTGAGTGTTTGCATCTAGAGGCACTTGGTGTTCGTGTTTCGCTGTGGGATTCGCTTGTTACTCTTGGTGGTTGCCGCCACCTAGATGGCTTGGAGCAGCAAGGATCGTCGAGCGGAGGTTGGTGATTGTCTTTGGCTCCGATCATGGTGATTGTGAGGGGTTCTTGACCTTTCTCCGTCAGAGAGCCAAAAGGTACTCTAGTCAATTGCTCATGGCTTGTATGATCCTCATCTTGTGTTGGTTGTGCGGCACCCTATTAAGGGTTTGGCGTGTGATGCCAATTAGCGCGTGAACCTCCAAGAGAGTGAATCGCCACAACGAGGACTAGCTTACCGGTAAGCAAGTGAACCTCGATAAAAAATCATTGTGTCATCATTTGATTCCGAGGTGATTGGTCTTCATTGGTATTCATCCTTGTGATTGAGTGGTTCACTCCTCGACACGGCGGTATAACCATCTTTCTCACTCTCTTTACAATACCGCAAACTAGTTGTCAAGCTCTTTAGTGTAGCTAACTCTAGGCAAATTACCCGCTACCCGTTACCCAAACCCGAAATACCCGGACCCAAAAAACCTGAACCCGTAGTGCCCGATGTTTAGTTCGGATAGTGATTCCTATTACCCGATTTTAATTTGGGTAATTCGGGTAACTACACCCGGTACCCGAACTATCCGCAATTTGAGTCAGAGCCCAATAGGCCAAACATCCCCCCGCGGCCCAACAGGCAACAACGCAACCTCATTTCCTCACCTCACTCCTAGTATCCTCCAAAACCTAGCCGCCAACCCTCCAGACTCTAGTTCTCGCCTTCTCAGAGCGATACCGAAGGGGCGCGTGTGGCGACGACGTGACGCGAAGCGAAGTCGTCGCCTCATCGATGCCGCCCTTACTCCATCGCCCACCTCTGCACCTCACTCCAACACGCGACACCTCGCGTCCCCGCGCGTCAACCTCATCAGAGACTAGACACTGGAGAGGTACACCGACGCCCGGCTACTTGAAGATTGAAGGACGGCTGCCACATCAGAATCCTCGTGCAATGTATGTATTCCCTAACCCCTATGGCCCTATTCCCCTTAGTTTTTTTAATCTGTGGGCTGTGGCTCTGTCTTTGCAAATTGCAATGTATGTACTATGTAGTGTAGTGATGTAGTGTAGATGAGTGGATCTGTTATTTGTCTATTTGATATGATCTGTGATTTTTGATAGTATGGTGATGCTGATAATATGGTGATTTTTGATATGATCTGTGATTTATGGTTAACAGAGGCAGTGAGGCACATGATTTAGTTGATTTGTTATGATCTATGATTTATGATGTGTTGTTATGATCTGTTGATATGATATGTGATTTAGTTTGACTTATTGTCTTAGTGATTGATTATAGTGCTCTTTTTATTCCTGTAGATGCCAGAACCAGAGGATAATATGGATTCAGTGGGCACTGGCACTCAATTTGATAGTCAGGAGACTCAGGCAATGGTAATGGTGCCAATGTCAGTAGTTGAACAACCATCACTTGAGACTCAGGAGCAAGGCAAAACCAAAGGAACTAAAAAAGTGGTCATTGATGTGGATGAGAAGGAATCTGAAAAAACTCAGAGAAAGGAGTTGGCACCAAGGTCTGAGATGTGGCAACATTTTATCAAGATCAAGGATGACAAAGGACTTTTGAAGGCTGGAAGGTGCAAATATTGCCACCGTGACATCAAGGCTGACACAAGGGGACATGGAACATCTACATTGAAGAAACACTTTGGTACATGCAAACGCAATCCTCATGTTTTCAACAAGGACTCAAAGCAAGGCACCTTGCAAGCATGTCGGGGGGAAGCCCCTACCACTTGGAGGTTTGATCAAGAAGCACTTAGAGAAGCCTTTGCTGAGATGGTAATAGAAGATGAGCAACCCTTTTGTTTTGGTGAGAAGCCTGGCTTTAGGAAATTTATGTCCAAAGCATGTCCTCGATTCCAATTTCTGTCTAGAAGAACTTGCACAAGGGACATTGTATGCCATTACTTTGAAGAGAAAGCCAAACTGAAGAAGTTCTTCAAAGATTCTTGTTAGAGAGTGTGCCTCACAACAGATTGTTGGACTTCTCAGGTTCAAGATGTATATATGACTGTTACAGCAACTTTCATTGATGAAAACTAGAATCTGCATAAGAAAGTGATAAGCTTTTTTATGGTAAAGGGTCACAAGGGGGAGGATATTGGGAAGAACTTGACAAGATGCTTAGCTGATTGGGGTTTGGATAGAGTGATGACTGTAACAGTGGATAATGCAAGTACCAATGACAGTGGTGTTGATTACTTGAGGAGGCAGCTGCAGAAAACCAACATTGCCAAGGGCAAGTTTTTGCATATGAGGTGTGCAGCCCACATTATGAATCTTATTGTAAGAGATGGATTACAAGAAGTGGATCTCTCTATTAAGCGTGTTAGGGCTGCTATTAGATATATCAAAAATGGGACTTCAAGATTAGTCAAGTTTAAAGAAATTGCTGAGGAAGAGAAAGTGGACATCAAAGCTTTTTTGAAACTTGATGTTTCGACAAGGTGGAATTACACATATTTGATGTTGAAGGCTGCAATTGTGTATGAGAAAGTGTTCTTAAAGTTAGATGAAGATGACACTAATTATGTTATTGATCTGTCTGAAGCAAGGGATGGTTTTGGGCATCCTGATGAAGATGATTGGGACAATGCAAAGAAGATGGCACAATTTCTACAGCATTTCCATGACCTTACTATTCGTATCTCTTCTTCTCTCCAAGTCACTTGCAACACTTTCTTTCATGAGATTGGAGAAGTCCATTTGTTGATTCAAGAATGGCTGAACAGTGAAGATAATTTGCAAGTATCAATGGGGATGAGAATGAAAGATAAATTTGATAAATACTAGGAACTTTGGCACACCAACAGCAAGGACAATGACAGGCAGCAACAAGAGCAAGATAGGGATAAAGGGCGGAGCAAGGGCAGGGAGAAGGAGAAGAAGGACAAGGAGAACATCAACTTATTCATATTTGTGGCTGCATTCCTTGATCCAAGGTACAAGTTATCTTTGTACACAAAGATTAGTGTTGAAGAGATATTTGGTGAGGAAAGATGTCAATTGGTTTGGGCAGCAATTAATACTTGTGTGAGAGCTGTTTGAAGAATACAGAAACATGTATGCTCCAAGTGAAGAAACAACTTAAGTAATTGATGCTGATCAATCTAAGGGAGGTGTAGGAGGAATGCTTAAAGAAAAAATCGCCAAGAGGATGAAACTGAACAATTGTTCAACCAGCACCAATAAATCTGAACTTAAGAAATATCTTGCTGAAGAAACAGAAGACACAGAAAAGAAAATGGACATTCTTGGTTGGTGGAAAGTCAATTCAAATAGGTTTCTAGTTTTGAGTCACATGGCTCGTGATGTGCTTGCTATACCCATCACAACAGTAGCGTCAGAGTCCGCTTTTAGCACAGGTGGACGTATCTTGGATGACTTCTGTACCTCTCTTACTCCATTCATGCTAGAGGCTTTAGTATGCACGCATGATTGGCATCGAAGGCCAACTGTTGACATAAAGGAGAGTATGGGGGAATTGGCCATAATAGAAAAAGGTATCATATTTCCTTACTTGCTTGCATTTGTGTATTTACTGTATGCAATATGAAATATGTAACTGTGCTGTGCATTTACAGAGTGGATAGAAGAATATGGCGGCAAAGGGAAAAAGAATGAGCAGCCTTCTGTCGGCACCTCCAAGTCACAAACACCAAGCAGCAACAATCAGGCCTCTGAACTCTGAAAGCTACAACTGGACTGAATTACTGCTACTAGAGTACGGAGGACTAGAGTCAGACTCTGGACACTTGACAGTCACTTGCTCTTGTGTCAGTTGGGTGATGTGTTTCACTATTTTGTTTAAACTTCTGTTCTTGTGTGATGCGTTGGCAGACAGCAGGCTTGAAGCCTTGAACTGTGTCTTTGTGACTGTCGTGGTTTGCACTTGCATTGCATGTTGCATGTGCACAAGACTACTAAGTAAGTATCATGTATGTCAGGTTTGAGATGTGACTCTATGGCTATGCAACTATGCCTCTGTCTTAGTGTTTTACTGTTTGTGATTATCTGCGGTTGAAAATTTGAACTTATCAGTTATCAATTATTCTGTCCAGTTCAAATTCTATGCAAATTCTGTGATTCTATAATTTCTGGTATATTGGGTATACGCGAACCTGAACCCGAAATTGCGGGTACTGTTTTTCCGGGGCTGTTATCGGGTAATACTGTTCATTACCCGAATTTCCCAAAACCCGAACTACCCGACCCGAATTATTCGGGTAACCCAAACACCCAGAGTTAAGTGTAGCCAGTAGTGAGAGCTTGTTAGTTTGGTTAGTGTGGCTCTTTAGTTAGCATTTGAGAGCGTGCTAACCTAGTGTAGTGACATAGCTATTGTGTGGATAGAAACTATATAAATTAGAATTGTGGTATGTGGTTTGTAATTTTAGTAGGCTAGCGTAACACTTGTTTCACCTCATAATTGTCTAATCGGTTTGCTAAGTGTTGTATAGAAATTTTTAATAGACTATTCACCTCCTCTAGTTGTAAGGACCTTTCACATCTCCCGGAGCAGGCCGTCGATCTTGGGCGCCGTGGCGGTGACGTTGGCCGTGAGGAGGTCTGCGGCGATGACAGAGTACGTCTGGTAGTCCATGCAGTGGCTGACGCTCCGGCCGTCAGAGCCGAGCGCCGCCAGGCAAAACTGCACGTCGAAGAACTGGCTCCCGCCGCCCACCGTCTTGCATGTAGGGAGCGCGCACTGGATCTCGGCGTGAGCGCCGGCGAAGAAGAGAGCAAAGAGCAAGATGGCAGAGGCCGTGGTGGCGGCTGTCATGGCCATTTTCAAAGTGGATTCCTTTGTTCTGATGAGGTAAGTGTACTACTAGTAGTATGTGAGATGGAGATGGCTGGAGCATAAGGATTTTACGCAGAAAGACAGGTTTCAACCTGTGACAACTGTCAACTAGAATTTGTGATGCAAAAAAAATCATTAGTTACTACTAATTTAGAGCAAGTATAATAATGGGTTGTTAAGCTGGCTAAATGTTGAGGTGGAGGAGAGAGAAGAAGCGGATTGTAAGTTTACAGCTGTGAGAGAGACAAGTGGGTCATGTATTAATAAAAAAAACTAACTGCTATATGAGTCGGCTAAGAGAAGGTTGCAAAGAACTTTACAGCCAGTAAACCGGCTATATTATTAACATTGAATATGTGTGGCTAGAAATCACAGTAGGTGACAGAAGGTGTTGACCACTTTTATAGCAGGCAACTAGGGGAATGGCCACATGTAGTGCCAAGCCTTACTAGTCTATCACAAATTTGGTAGGAGTATTTATTGTGATAAAAAATACTTATAACATTCTATTTTACACTACTCCCTCAATCTCAAATAAATCGACTTCTATATTTTTCATAAGTCAAACTTTTTGAAATTTGACCAAATATATTAAAAAGAGCATAAATATTTATGGCGTAAACTAGTATAGTATTATTAATATACCATGAGATATATTTTCATAGATGTTTATTTGCTGCGGTAAATATTGATGCTCTTTTCTATAAAGCTAGTTAAACTTAAAAAGATTGACTTAGGACAACGCTAGAAGTTGATTTATTTATGAATGGATAGAATATCTTAGTGCAGGCTATTTTTTTTACCAAAATGTCTTTAAAAAACATGTCCAACAATAATTTAAATTAGGGCATGCGCTAGTTAAAAATGGCATAATGGGCGTCTTATCTTTGACTTAAATGATTACAAATAGTTGAGCCTTTTTCTAGGTGAATCCTAAATGCGTAATACATTTTAACGAAAAAGTTTAATTTTTTTTGTCAGTATAAAGAAGAGAGCAAGCTTGAGCCTAAAATAAGGACATGACGAAGATGGCATCTAAGTCGGATAGTTCAATCTGCTCTTTGTTCTAAGATAAGCTCATCCCGGATATGGCATGAATATTCTCTAGATGGAATGATTCTATCCCACCTGTCTAAGAAATACTATGAAAAATGGAATCATCTCTTTAACCAAACACTATCCAAAATAAACACATTTCTATCGCGGTGAAACATTTTTTTTATTGAAAGTAAACCATGCATGCTAGGATAATAAGGGCCTGTTTGGCTTACTACCGCAGCCCTGCCACGCCGAAAGTCTGGCGCACAAAAACAACGCCTCACTTTTGGCGAGTTACGGCATGCAAGTTGAACTACCGGCGCCTAAGCAGGAAGTGGCATGCCGCACATGCAGTAACAAACCAAAAGCTAGCTAAAGTTAGGCGAGATGAGACAAAAAGACCTATGACAAACTCTAATAACGATCCAAGAGCAAAAGAGAGTTGGTAAAAATAGATGGCTAAATTTATGATTTAGCTAATCTCTAAAATAGAAATCCACAAAAAAAAACATAAAACTCCAACAACCTTTCTAATATGGCAGGCAGATGACTGCGGCACATGCAAGCTATATTTGCTATGCGAGAATTTCGAGATAGAGGACTTACTATTTTAGAAAGTAAAATATAATAGCTATTGGACTCTTTTTTTTTCAAAATAGTCAAATATAAATTATATTCTAAACACACCTTAAAAGAGGGAAGAACGTTCTTAGAAAACAATTTCAGGGTCTGCGATGTGGGCGTGTAGCTGCCGCCAGTGGTATGTGATTACAAAAAGAAATCACGGAAAAATGAAAAAAAAGGAGAAAAACGTACGACCCTGAACTACATGGGCCATATTACATGGGCCGACCTGTAAGCGCTAGGTTTTTGCCTCTTCGTCAGTCCGCTCCATTCCCCACCACTCCTCACTCCTCACTCCGCACAGCCATGGCCGACTCTCCACCGCCGCCGCCGCCACCCGCTCCCACCACCATAACTGCGCTCAGCGATGACCTTCTCCTCGAAATCTTCCTGCGCCTCCCCTCCGTCGCGAGTCTCGCCCGTGCGGCTTTCGCCTGCCGCGCATTTCTCCACGCCGTCCTCTCCTCCCCCGCCTTCCGGCGCCGTTTCCGTGAACTCCGGGCACGGCCGCTCCTTGCGCTCTTCCTGCTGCCCGACATGCGTGCCATCGTCCCTGCAGGTGCAGGCAAGAGCAGCGACATCGCCGCCGCCTTCGACGGTCTACTCCAAGACTTCGGTGCCTCCGAGTGGCGGAGCGATCCCGTGATCCCCTACAGCGACGGGTACGCCTACTTCGTCAACCAAGCCACCGACCAAAGCGCCTGCTACAGCCCGCACTCGCAGGCTCTGAACATCTACCCCAAGAACCTCCGCTACGACAACAACGCCTTCCTTGAGTTCCACACGCTCCCCCCCGACGGCGAGGAGCAGCGGCCGTCCCGCGTGGTCTGCGTCCACCGGGAATTGGGCGCGCGTAGCCGTCTTCTCGTCGCACACCATGGAATGGCAGCTCGTCTTGCCGGAGATGGACACCGGGGGGGCGCTGGATGACACCACTGGCTCGGTTGTCAATGGCTTCGTCTGTTGGGTACACACGGGGAAGGGATGCATCCTCGCGCTCAACACTGTGACATTTCAGTTCTCTCGGATGGATCTGCCGCCGCCCTTGAAAGTGCCATCCTCAAGATTTCAGCTTGGTCACACCAAGGATGGGGAGTTCTGTGTCGTCAGTGTACTGCAATGCATGCTTTCTGTTTGGCTCTGGGCAGCCGACGGTGATGGCGTCGAGAGATTCATGCCGCACAAGACATTCTCATTGTGCGCAAATGTCAGTGAGGTCATCAATGAGGCTGATGTTCATATACGGCCTATGGCGGTTATCAATGGCTTTGTGTACCTATCTCTAACTGTTGCACCCTTAGGGGACCCTCGGGCTCCTCAGTTGTTCGTGTCCTTCTGCCTAGAAACAGCCAAGGTGAATTTGCTCCATAAAGAAAGCAAGCTTATATTCTGCCCAGTTGATCCCTACATTAAAGTCAGCTGGCCGTCTTCTTTGATACATGGCAAGGTGAGCCTGTGCTTATGTATTTGATACACGATAAAATATGTTTCGTCCCAGAATTGTAGGCAGTTTGCATCACATGAGAGTATTGGTTATCATATTGTTGTGGAACGCCGCTATCGGCTTTCAGGTTTAGGTGAAGTAACAGGAATAAACTTTAACTCATAGTAGGTGAGCTCAACTGATGGCTGTATGCAATAGCATGCTTTGATGCTAATCAAAATGAGATGGCAGAGCTGTATTCAAGGGTATCTTATTTCAGTTTCATTGCTTTTGTAAAAGCTAAATAAATTGATTTGTATCATTAGAATCTATTGCCTTGCCGTATGTCACAATTTTTTTTTCTATGCAAAATCTTACAGTACTTATATGAGTCCTCTTTATGTCATAGGAGGATTCAAAAACCGGAGTTAGAGGAAACATTTCTGAAGATGATGGTCCCATGGGCACGGAAGAAGATTCCCCTGTCCTTTTCACCGCGTTGCAATCATTCAAACAAAAAATGATTGATAATGGCAACTCTAATTTTGCAGAGATAGATTCCTTCTTACTTGATGATGAGAGGAACTCTCTTCTGAACAGAATCGCTACTTTAGAGTCAAGATTAGCAGCTGCAAGGGACCGTGTCTTGAGAATAGGCACTAAACCCAATAGCATGAATGGGATGGAACTTGTTACTTCAGAGTCAGAATTAGCAGCTGCAAGAGACTGTCTTGAGACTAGGTACTGAATCTGATAGCATGGAAGGGATGGAAAGAGTGAGCTGCTGGCAAATGAGCAAGGTAATGTTGGGTAGAGTCTGTTCCCGCTTCTTTACTAGGTGACCCTGGTCCTGGTGTCTCCCTTGTCGTAAGATGAGCTTTTGTTGAGATGTGTTGTGAAGGAAGGATGAAGTCATTATTTGCTTAGTAGTTTGGTTTCATGTTCCAGGTTTGTTGACTGTAACTAGCAGTACCTATGTCTAGTTGGCAAGAAACTTATCTGCTTTATATGCAGTAGTATTAAGGGTCATCGTCAGTAGGTCTGTTGAGTGTAACTATGGTAACTATCAGTCCCTATGTGACTGTCTAGTTAGCAAGAAACTTATCTGATTTAATGTAGTAATATTCAGTGTCATCGTCAGTATATGTTTGGGTGTCTTTGATATGCATTGTTGAATTTGCTTGAGTAGCCCTTCGCTATGAAGTATGGATCCATTGTGTTGATCTCATGATTGGCGTTAACATTATTAATTCCTTGTTGCTTGGTTTTACGTCTACATTGCCACATTGGTACTTTTTTAGTGTTCAGCCATCTGTGCTCGCAAGAAAGCAGAGCATTTCTTGAGAACAGAAACAGAGCAAGCTCACTAGACGCTGCAGAAAGCCGAGCATTTCGTGGCTCCACTTGCACCCGGGGAATGGACCCATGTAGTTGAACTTGTTTTCTTCTGTTACCTAGCCCAATGTGCAACTGCTTGCTTCTATTTTCAGAATTTTTTTCGAAGAGTTTTATCATGCCAAAAAAAAACCCCCTCTTGCTTCATAGATCTGAGAGAACATTTAGGGAAATAGTAGCCTCTCAAATGCTCCCTCCGTTCGACGCTTCGAAAGTATTTGAAACGTATGGAGCAGTTAGTTTTGAGTTTGATCCACATGCCTAATCAACCAGAACCCTTATCAATTTACTTATTTATATATAAAAGTGAAACAAATAGCTATAGTTCCAAGTGCATGCTATTATATGCTTTTAATTACTTACAAAATATGGGTATATATCTGGTGAAAATCTTGCAAATTGAGTGCTCAAAATACGTTTTCAAAATGTTTCCAACATATGAAATAACAGAGAAAGATTAAGCCCAGCCCATAATATCTTGTCAGTCCAGACCAAACATGGTTGTTAGGATCGGGATCCTAAGTAGTATCGTTTTTTATCAAATAGTATTTTTTTTATTTATAAAATAGTATTAGATCACATGATCGTATTGTAGTACGGGGATACTATTGAGTTTTACAAATTATATATTTTATGTACAATTTGTAATAGGTTTTATGGATTGAATAACACCCAATTTGATTAACTTATATAATAATATCACTTTTTTATATATTTAAGTGTAATTCTTAACATTATTTCAACACCCCTCAACTTTAAATAGTATTTCATCTATAAATAAATTATTTAAAATTCCTTTATATCAATTATTGTATGATATCATAAGTTCCTAGATAGTACTATTAAGATACTACAAATTTTATGCAGAAACATATAGTCTTTTACCTAAGCAAGATATCACATCGGCGTGTAAGGAGTCCGTCAAGAACTGGAGCTAACATATCCCGAGAAAAGAAGAAGCTATGGCTAATAGTTGGAGACTAGCGTTATCTATATAATCTAAACGCCCCCAGACATGTAATCCTCTATTGTAAAATTGTGCAAGGCTTTGTCTTCCACCAACCCGGTCCTCTTGAGTATCTGTGGAATGGATTGCTGGTGGGGATCCGTTTCGATCCCCCCGAAGTTGACCTCAAAAAAGAGAGCGAGATATACTATAAAATTTATTAAAATTTAGGATACTAGTAAACAAGCACGTGCGGCACGCACGTGTCTAAAAAATCATACACAAGAGAATAAGTACATATTTTATTAAATCATTTTTTGTGATTTTTATTTTCATAATTTAGGATATATTATAGGATACCAACCTAAGATCATACGATTGTAGGATACGGATTAGGATACGACATTGAGTCCAATACGGATCATACGATTGTACAGTCAAGTTAACTCGTCCGTCAGGACTCAGGAGACTAGCCTCAGCTCTCAGGTCGTCAGCCGACGCTCTCCTTGGCCCTTGCCCGTCGACGACCCGACGTCCACCATGTCCATGGACGACCAAGGCCTCCTCTTCGAGCCCTCCCGTCCCGTCGATCTTCGGCCTTCGCAAGCGACACGGCGGGCTACGAGTTCACTTGGCGCCGACGAGTTGTGCTGGCACCTCACGTCGCCGTCGCCAGCCTCCCCGATGGACCTCGACGACCTCCTCACCGAGATCCTCCTGCGCCTGTCCCCGCTGCAGTCCTCGCTCCCCCGCGCGTCCCTCGTCTGCATCTGTTGGCACCGCCTCGTCACCGACCCTAGCTTCATCCGCCGCTTCCACGCCCACCACTGGAGAGCCCTCGGCGTCTTCTCGGTAGCGACGACGAAGGTCTCTCCTTCAGGTCCATCTCGGAAACATATAATCTTCGGAAACGCTTGATTAGGGCGTTCGAACAGTTCTCCTTTTCAATGCACGCCACATCCACAGTTAACGTCTTGGACCAAAATGAGTTGGTGCACCGCTTCGGGCTTCTTCGCACAGGCCCACGACTCTCATCCTCCACTGCAAGGGCTCACTCGCTGCATCGTCATGCGTACAAACCCACCTTCCTCCTTTCTCTGCTCGCTCCCTGCGCCGCTGCATCCACCCACATGCCTTGCTGTCGTGCTTTGCTCCCAGGTGGTCCCCACCAACCTCCGTTTCCTCCCATGGAAGGCGTATGTACGCATGGACGAGTCTGCATCCAGCGACACCCCACTCGTCTCGTCTGTTGTGGCTTCAACGCGCCGTCCTCACCCTGCCCCTCTGTGCCACCAAGCTCTGCGTCGCCGACGAGCACACCTGCGACCTTCACGCGCCGCCCACCCATCCTATGTGCCACCTCCGCCCATGCCACCCCACCCCGCCCTTTGTATGCAGCCGCCCAGCTCCACGTTGACGGCGAACTTCACGCCGCCTATGAGCACACCGATGACCTCCATGCACCGATGAGCCTCCATTCGCCGAAGCAACAAGAAGATGTTTTACGCAGAAAAGCGCATGTTGCAACTATATGTTTTAAGTGTTTCGGAGGTATGTCACAGAAGTAGATTGGGATGTTGCAAAAGTAGATCGGGATGTTGAACATGTTGCAATAGCTATACACGTATGTTTCAAGTGTAGGTTCCAAATGTTTCATCTATTTCAGACGTATGTTGCAAGTGTTTCATCTGTATGTTGCAAAAGTATATCTGGATGTTGCATATATATGCAAGTGTGTTTCAGGTGTTTTTATACGTATGTTGCAAGTATTTTCATCTGGTTGTTTGCAACAGCTACACACGTGGTTTCAAGTTTTTTTTGGTGTTTTGCTAGTGTTTTAGACGTATGTTGCAAGTGTGTCGGTGCAGAAAGTGACCAACACGTAAATATTTGTAGTTTTGCCGTATATTGTGATCGGATGTGGCCTAACACTCAATGACACAGGGTTTATACTGGTTCAGGAAACGTGCCCTACGTCCAGTCTGAGTTGGTCGGAGACTTTATTCTTGAGCCCAGGTGCTGAAAGTTTGCTATGGGGTTACAAACAAGAGGGAGAAAGATGGGGGTGTAAGAGGTCCGATCGGACTCTGGACCGAAGGGCCAAGAGAGACGGGAGCTCTTACATGCGCTAAGTATTTGAGTGTGTGCTCTGTTGGAATCGTTCGAATCGTAGGTTGTTCGATCCGCTGGTGGTTGAATCATCCGTGAATCGATTCGTGTGTCGTCGGAGAGTCCTCCTTTTGGAGAGAGCGCATCCCCTTTTATAGATGAAGGGGACGGCTTTACAAGAGAGAGAGTGTGAGAGAAAGAGAGTGTGTGTGTTACCTAGTCTTGTTGCTCACGCCGTCGGGTACAAGGTGGTTTGTCGGCACCCACAACACTGTTGATGTCCGGATGCATGTGATAGGCTCCATCGTGATCTTCTGGTACGGCCGATGTCGACGCCTACCATACTATAGGATAAATGTCGGTGCCCATAACACTGTTGGTGTTCTGACATGTCTAGAAGGATATAAAGTACCCTTCTGATATGGCCTGACAGTACTGTCCTGCAGGTGTGCAGGGTACGGTCCTTGATATTGCGGTTGACTGGAGCGTCCTACCTTACTTGCCCTGTTCGTTTCCTGGGTCTTCACCGAGCGGGCGTCCCCGGTCGGTCGTTCCCCAGTCGGCTCCGGCCTCCCGGTCGGAGGAGAGCTGTAAGCAGAGGTTCGATGTACTTTCGGTCGGAGAAGCGAGTCGGAGTCGTAGGCGAGCGTCGTTCCTTCTCGGCCAGGCCTTCCGGCCGGAGAGGCGGGCCGGAGTCGGAAGCGAGCGCCGGAGTCGAAGGTGAGCCGGCCAGGCATTCCAGTCAGAGAGGCGGGCCGAAGTCAGATTCGAGCGTCGCCCCTTCTCATCTAGGCCTTCCGGTCGGAAAGACGGGCCAGAGTCGGAAGCAAGCGTCATTCCTCCTTGGCCAGGCCTTCCGGTCGGAGAGGCGGGCCGGAGTCGGAAGCGAGCGTCTTCCCTTCTCGGCCAGGCCTTCCGGTCGAAAAGACGGGCCGGAGTCGGAAGCGAGCGTCGTTCCTCCTTGGCCAGGCCTTCCGGTCGGAGATCGCCCTTCTGGCCCGTCGTTAGGTTGTTGGGCCGAGCTTTTGCTGTGAAGCAGGTACATGAGGGACCCCGGGTTTATTAACCCGACAAAGTGTTTCAACTGTTTTGGATATATATTGTAAGTATTTTATCTAAATATTGTAAAAGTACATTTAATATTGCACATGTTGCAGTGGAAGCCCCACAGCCGTCGTGAACGACAAACATGAAAACCGAGCGGGGCGCAGATCGAGACGCAGTACTCGCGTGGACACGCATAGGCACGAGAAACGGAGCGACGCAGGCCCATGTGAAGCGTGACAACGTCCGGACGGTAACGCCCCAAAATAGAGGCCCTGGCACTAGCAAGTCCGTTGAGTCTTTGTCTAAGATCGAGATACTATAAAATTTAGGATATATTATAGGATACAATCCTAGGATCATACGATTGTCGTTGGAGGATACGGATCAGGATACGACCTTGGGTCCAATACGGATCATACGATTGTACAGTCAAGTCAACTCGAGGTCCTGGCCCGTCAGGACTCAGGAGACTAGCCTCAGCTCTTAGCTCGTCAGCCGACGCTCTCCTTGGCCCTTGCCCTTGCCCGTCGGCGACTCGGCGTCCTCCATCCATATCCATCCATGGACGACCAAGTCCTCTCCGAGCCCCCCCGTCGTTCCGTCGATCTTCGGCCTTCGCAAGCGACACGGCGGGGCACGCGTTCACTCGGGGGCGCCGACGAGATGCGCCGGCACCTCACGTCGCCGTCGCCAGCCGCCTCTCCGATGGACCTCGACGACCTCCTCACCGAGATCCTCCTCGCCTATCCCCGCTGCCGTCCTCGCTCCCCCTGGCGTCCCTCGTCTGCACCCGCTGGCGCCGCCTCGTCACGGACCCCAGCTTCATCCGCCGCTTCCGCGCCCACCACTGGAGACCCCTCGGCGTCTTCTTCGGCAGCGACGACCAAGGTCTCTCCTTCAGGTCCATCTCGGAGCCGCGGTACCCCGCCCCGTCCAAGCGCTTCTCCGTGCGCGTGCAGCGCGACTGCCAAGCCGACTGCGACGGCGACGGCAGACGTGGCTACGCCTGGGTACCCCACGGCAGCCGCCACGGGCGCGAGGTCCTCTCCCACAGCCTCTACGGCCACGGCACCCGCGAGTTCCTGGTGTGGAACCCCGTCACCGGCGAGCACCACTTCCTCGACATCACGCGGTTCTTGGACCCTGACCGGAACCAGAACGGGGCGTACATGAAAGGGGCGGTGATCCGCGCCGCCAGCGACAAGGGACCCTTCAAGTTCGCGCTGGCGTGGGACGAAATCCACCACGGCACTGCACACATCTGCGTTTACTCGTCGGAGACCAGCCCGTGGGGCGACGTCGTCTCTGCGGCGTTCGACTCCTGGTCCACCGTTGGCCTTGGAAACGTCATGGTTGGGAACACACTTTACTCGATCCTGTTTGGCAATCAGGTTCACATCCTTCAGTTTGATTTAGGTACCCAGGACCTGGCTGTGATTGAGGTGCCACCGAGTGCCTATGAAGACCATTATGGTATCTACTTGTGTACGCTAGCAGACGGTTTCGGGCCTAGCTTGATCGTCATGTCAGCGGACCTCAGAGCTCAGCTGTGGGTACTGTGGGAGAGGACTGCCGACTCTGATGGTGGTGGTGGTGCTCGATGGATGCGTGGACGAATAGACAGGCTTCTTGGTCTGAGACCGGGAGGGTACTGGAAAGTGCTTTGGCTTGCAGGGGATGACAATCTGATTTTTGTGTCAACGTATAGCGGCGTCTTCATGGTCCATCTCGAGTCGATGCAGTCTGAAAAGATTTTCGAAACCAGTCCTCTTAGCGATTGCAGGACTGTCCATCCATTGAAGAATCTATATGCTCCAGGTAATAGCATGCATTTACATTGCAAGTATACCAAAAGGCAAAAGCTTAGTTCTTTCCCTGTAATTGGTCTGTTGAATACCACAGGTCCTTTTTAATGCTGGACTAACAATTGGAATTCAATCATATATTCATATATGTAGTTTGGCTCTGCTTGTTGAACTCTTGATGCACTGCTTTGTTGTTTCAATGTTCTTTGACAGAATTACATATGTTGACGGTGGGTTAGGCCACCATATATTAACGTTAGTTTTTCTTGTCCATTGCCATATATGATGTGACCAGAGGCGGAGCTCCCCATACGGCAGTGTGTGCCCCACCTACCGCCGGTATGGAGGAACCCCACCCCCTTCTTCTTCCATCCCGGCATCTCCCCAGGTGAGCAAGCCGTTGGTTTCTGCAGCTCCTGAGCCGAGCAGAGGAGGCGGCACTCCGAGCAGAGCGTGCGACGTTGCGAGTGGAGGTGACCGATTTTTTTCTTTTTTTTGCCTTTTTTTTTAAAAGTTTTTCACAAATATACCCCTGGAGGTATGCTTTTAAAATCTAGACCCTTAGCTCGGCGCCATCTATAGTGGCGCCGAGCTTACACGTCTCGGCGTCAAAGGGTTTAGCGCCTAGGTCGGGGGGCCACGTCGGCATCAAAGTAGAGCCGGGGGTACATGGCAGCCAACTCGGCGCCGTGGATTTTGGCGCCAATCTTGGCGCCGTAGATCTTGGCGCCGAGTTTGGCGCCATAGATCCTGGCGCCGAACCGGCCTTACAGGTGGGTCCTTTTTCGTTCTCTCTTCCTTCCTTTCCTTTTCCTCTCTTCCTTTCTTCTCTCTCGCTCGACGCCTCCCGCTGCTAGCGCCGCTCCCACCGTCGCGCCCCGCGCCCCCGTCCTGGCCGCGCTGCGTCGGCCGACCGCCGCTGCCCGGCTAGGCGTCCACGCCCCGCGCCACCGCCCCGGCGTCCGCGCCCCGCGCCCTCGTCCCGGACTGGCTGCGTCGGCCGGCCCACCGCCCCAGCGTCTGCGCCCCCGTCCCGGCCTCGCTGCGCCGGCCGGCTGGCCCACCGCCCCGGCCACCGCGGCCCGGCCCAGTGTTCGCGCCCCGCGCCACCGCCCCGGCGTCCGTGCCACGTGCCCCCTCCTCGCCGCGACTGCCAGTTCCACGGTGCGGGGGCAGGCGCTGCTGCCTCCCCGTCCTCCACGTCTGGCCGGACGTGGAGGTCGTTCTCCGCCACCCCACCCCACGGCCCTCCACCGCGCCTGGCGCTCCTCCTGCTCTCCACTGCGTCATGCACTGCCATAGTTAGATAGTGAGGTTGAATTGTGGTGTTGTAGTTAGTTTATTGATGTACTTAGTATGGTAATGTGATAACCTATTAAGTTTAATTAGTTGGTGATCTAGAGATTAGGTGATAACCTAGTTAGACTATTTACTTACTTAGTTAGCTATCTATTTAGTTAGTTATGATAACCTATTTAGTTTAATTAGTTGGTGATGTAGTGATAATGAGGTGATAACCTAGTTGTTGGACATGTATGGAGCTAGCTATTTAGGCACTAGGCCACGTTGTCCACCTGACCCTTACACTCTAGGCACCGACGCTCTTGGTCACAAGGGTAAGGGTAAGACTAGGAGGCAGTGAGGGTTTGTGGTAGATGTTATTATGTACTATTATGGACTCTGTGGACTTTCATTATGAACTATTGTGGATTGTATGGACTATTATTATCGACTATGAACTACTATGGACTATAATTATGGACTGTGTGGACTATTAATATGCTCATGTATATGGTTTCAGATGAATGTGGCATATATTTCTATGTTTGAACATGTTGTATTGATGTTAAATATTCATCTTATATTTGTGTATGGATTGCATAAAAAATAGGAGAAATTTTGCTGAAATTTTCTGCCTAAAGTACGTATTAATCAGTGCCATCAGTTTTTCTGGTTCATTAAGTAATCAATTTGTTTTTTGTTATGAGTATGCATGTATGCCTCTCGGGCTACCGCATTGGTTGAAATTATCTTTTCTTTCATGCAAAAGAACCGAACATGATTATCTACCACATTGGTTGAGATTTTCTTTTCTTTCCTTCCATTTTATGCAAAAGAACTGAACGTGATTACGTACATTGCATGCGTGTGAGCCAATCTTGCATGCGAGTGGACGAGCACTGAGCCGCTGAGTAGCAGCGGAGTAGACTAGCGGCCAAGTACGTTTATGTCATCGTATCCAACTACAATTAGTAAAATAATGTAGCATTTACAGTGATTTGCTATGTCACCGTCGAATAGACTTTTCAGTGTCCTTCGAAATAGTGATTGAAGTCTGAAATCGAATAGGCTTTTCAGTCATAGAATCTAGGCTCTCCAGTGTTCTACGATGTAGGCTTTTCGATGATTCTGAGTAGACTTTCTAGGAGCATTTACAGCACAATACAACAGCTAGCAAACCTGCCTCCGCCTATATATACGCGTTCTAGGATGCATTGCTAACCAAAAGGAAAACCAAACTAGTATTCGGTTTTGTTGGAGTAGGAATGTCTGGTGGGTCATCTAGAGAAAAGGGTTTCAGGAGTAGGAGAGGAAGGGGGGAACGAAGGGAACTCCCATTGTGTGGGAGGGGTCTCTTGGGCCTGATTTCTTTGAGGAACTAGTGTATCAGTTTCCCCCCGAGAGCAAGAGTGGTTTCACTAAAGAGTGCCCTCTCAGAGGATATGATAACAGGAAGGAAGATTGGCCAAAATGCATGCACGGTGAGGACTGCTTAGTGCAGATGTTCACCGAGGGGATCGACGGAGGTCGTCGCTTCTTCAAATGTCCGCGAGCATGGGTAATTGCTATTACATTTTGTTTGTTAAATATGTTTCTCGAATACCCTTACAATTCACAGGACATACTTATTGTAGTCTTCCGAGTTCGAAGAAAATTGTGGGTTCACTAGGTGGATCGATCCTCGACCAATTTATCTACATTAGTAGTACATCTACTACCTACAGGACCAAATCTTCGATCTACAAAGGGAAGTTAGCAGCGGGTACAAGGAAGACGAAGACGACGACAACAACAATGGTGCAAGTTCACAGGAGGCACTCTGCAATGATCCATATTGCACCTGCCCTAATCACAAGAACAAGGGGCCTCCGCCATCACCCCCGCCACCACCACCACCAATAATGGGAGGCAACTATGGAGAAGGTGCAACACAATTTGCTATGTGGCCACACTACTAGGACGACCCTATCTTATTCATATGGCACATCCATGTGTTTGTTGTTTGGTTTAATTACCTAAGGCATGTTAGGTTTAGTCGAAAGAACTATGTACCCTTATTTAGTACATGTTCTCATATGCCATTTCGTGTGCTTATTGTTCGCTTCAATTACCTAAGGCATATTAGGTTTAGTTCAAGACCTCTGTGCCCTAGTACGGTACATATTCTCACATGCCATTTCATGTGTTGTTGAAAGCTCTAGTTTGGTTTTGGTTAATTGATGAAACCTTAAGTGCTAACCTAGTTTATCAAAGTGATTATGAGATAGGTAGCACTACTCCAAGTGATGAAGCAAATGAAGATCATAACATGATGATGGTGATGATCAAATGCTTGAGCTTGGAAAAGAAGAAAGAGAAAAACAAAAAGGCTCAAGGTAAAGGTATAAATAGTAGGAGCCATTTTGTTTTAGTGATCGAGACACTTAGTGAGTGTGATCACATTTAGGATCGATAGCCGTACTATTAAGAGGGGTGAAACTCGTATTGAAATATAGTTATCAAAGTGCCACTAGATGCTCTAACACATTGCATATGCATTTAGGATCTAGTGGAGTGCTAACACCCTTGAAAATGTTTGTGAAAATATGCTGACACATGTGCACAAAGTGATACACTTGGTGGTTGGCATATTTGAGCAAGGGTAAGAAATTTCACCGGCGAAGTGTCCGCCCGTAGAGTGCGGATAGTCCGACGGTGCCACCAGCGCCCTATACAGAGAAGACATGATTTCACAGAGTGATCGGACGCTGGGTTCAGCGTCCGGTCAGTGACAGCAGTGAACACGCGGTCTCGGTCTTGTGATTGGACGCTGGCGTGAAAACTGACCGGATGCTCAGGGTCCGAGTCCGGTCAGTGCTGACGTACGCTGATGTGGGGCGCACAGATGAGACATTGAGTGACCGGACGCTGGGTGAGTCTGATCGGGCATGACCGGACGCGTCCGGTCGTGAAACTTCGCGTTTGGAACCTTACTAGAAACGACCGGACGCTGGGGTCCTACGTCCGGTCACTTTCTAACTGACGCGTCCGGTCATCACTTGACCGTTGAAATCGAGCGATCAGCGTTTGAAGCAGATGACACGTGGCAAGCATCGGACGACCGGACGTTGGGGTCCTGCGTCTGGTCGATCTGACATAGCAACCTTGTGAGCTTAGCCAAAGCCCTCCCACTCATCTCCATCATTGATTCATCATCTTTGTGAGATTGGGAGAGAATCCAAGTGCATTGCTTGAGTGTTTGCATCTAGAGGCACTTGGTGTTCGTGTTTCGCTGTGGTATTCACTTGTTGCTCTTGGTGGTTGCCACCACCTAGACGGCTTGGTGCAGCGGAGGAGGATTGGCACGAGTTGGTGATTGTTCGTGGCCATCTCCGGTGATTGTGAGGGAACTTGTACCTTCCCCGGTGGAGCGCCGAAAGGTAACTCTAGTGGATTGCTCGTGTCATTGAGTTACCTCACTTGTGGGTATGTTCTTGCGGTGTCCAATTGTGTGGACGAGGTTCGCACAACACCTCTTAGCCGCCGAACCACCAAGTGTTGGTCGACACAACGGGGACGTAGCATGTTGGCAAGCACGTGAACCTCGGGAGAAAATTGGTTGTCTCTTGCCCTTTGGTATTCTCCCGGTGATTGATTTAGTATTCATCTTGTGATTGGTTCACTCCTCTACACGATGGTATAATCACCCTACTCACTCATTTATATTCTTGCAAACTACTTGTAGCAAGCTCTTTAGTGTAATTAGAATTGAAAGTTTGCTTTGTTGTTTTAAGTTCATCTAGTGGAGCTCTTTAGTGTAGCAAGTGTGAGAGCTCATAGTGAGTAGT